AAACCCACTGAGATCTTCATCTCCAGCCATTCCCTCAGCACTGCCAAGGCCACCACTAGCCCGTGTCCCCAGGTGCCACATCCACATGGCTTTTGAACACAAGATGAAGCAGAGCTGGTTGTGCTTGCCTGCTTCTCCATGGCTGTCTGCCAGCAGCCACTGCAGACCAGTGTCCCTGCCACCTCCTCCCATGCACATGTGCCTTTTAGGAACGATTTAGGCATGTGTGATTGACTGATTTAGCTGCCTGGCACACCAGTGGGTGCTGCTGCAGCTGGAATTGCATCACTGGTGTCACCAGCTCCGTGCTGTGTGCCAGTCACAACATTCCTGCAATAAGCACCTGCTGCACTCCCAGCCATCAGACACATTCCTGGGGCTGGGAAACCCACCATGGCTTTGATGAGAAGTGAGTAATCCCCAGGGAGCTGCAGGGCTGCCATCTCTGGGGACAGGCTCCACCAGCCTGAGTGCTGGCCAGCCCGGCCCCTCTGCCCTCTCCACCTCTGTGCCCATCAGCCACAGCCCAATTAAACTCACTGATGTGCAGGGATGAGTTAAATGCACCCAGGAACATTTCCCAGAACTCTCCACCCCCTATGCTGCCTCTACTCCCTCTGCTCTTTACCTTCCCTGTATGTCCAGAGTCAAAGGTGTTCAATTTCTATCAAACTACCCAGAGCAGCCTAGATAATTTTGGGGATTGCTGGCCTCTGTGTGGTTGGCTTTTCACATTAAACAGAAGCTCTACTAGTGGTGGCACACAGGGGATGGATTTCCACCTGTAGCAAGAGGAATGAGCTGCACTGTTTTCTATTCTATGAGACTTGCTAGGCCAGCCACTACAAGCACTTTGACAGCAAATGGTTGTCCCAGGCATGGAAATAGAAACACTCCAGACTTTCCTTTTGTTCCCTTCAGATGGTTGTTTGCTCAGGGTTTTTTTTTCTGAATCAGGGAAGATATTTGAACTAATAATGGCACTTTTGGCTGAGATTCAGATACATGCATTCTATATATAAAATATGTACTTGTATGTAAAATAAACACACAGTAGTTTATACATACATATAAATACATATATAAAATACATGTAGGAAGTAATTCCAGACACAGGAGGCAGGAGTTCTGTGGGAGCAGAGCCAGGAGCCCCTGTGGCACCCACTGGAGCTCTGACCACACTGGAATATTTACTGTTCCCTGCTTCCCCTGCACTGAACCTTGGCTACCAATTACCCTGTATTAAATTGTGTTTGGTCGTGCCAGTGATTATACAGTATCCAGGCAACCCGGCCATAATCTAATTTAACACCCAACATGGATTTACTCTGCTGCTGTTCTCCTTTGTTTTGCTGGAAGGGAGTGAGAAGTGAGTGGTGTCCAGGGACACCCTGGGAATGGCCTGGGGGACACCCTGGGCTGGGCTGTCCCCAGGAAAAGGACCAGCCCAGAGTCCCAAAGCCACTGACAGCCCGGCCCAGTGTGAGCAGGAGTGAAGTGAAGTGGTTCTGCACATTCCTCCATTAGCTGTTGCTTTCTCCTGTGCTGGAAGTGGCTCCTGTAAAGCGGGGAGCAGAAAATGCACCCACAGAAATCAATGGTGGTGCGGTTCTCTCAGAGTGCATCAAGGGCCAGAAAGAAACAGCAGGTTAAAAGGAAAATACAGTGACTGCTTGGAAAACTTGTAAAGAGCAGCTCAGGAATGGCACTGACAGTCCCTGCTGAACAGCCCCAGCATTAAGCCCACTTTGGGCTGAGAACACCCATCTTTAGAAACCGCGGCGTTATTTCCTCGTACAAAGGATGATGAAGAGCTGTAATTCAGAGTGAATTATCCTGTGGGTAATGGATGGGGAATTTGAAGGATGTGAAAGGTGAATCATGTTTTGGAGCACGGCTGTGGTGACCTGGTACAGGGATGGCTATTGCTGGAAAAGTACCCGGGGAGCAGAGCAGGAGTTCCTGTGGCCCTGAGGTTGATTCCAGAAATGAGCTGGATTGCACAGCTGCAGCACAGCTCCCACTTTGCTTCCAGAGGCAAAGCAGAGCACCCTGAGCAGGGTGTGGTGGTGCAGGTGAGGGGGGCTGAGTGGGCAGTGGCTGGGCAGGCCCGTGGCTGGTGCTGTGGGACCATGTCCTGCCTGGGAAACCATTAATAGCCCAGTCTGAAATAATTGCCAGGACCACGCTCAGCTGCCTCCTGTAATGAGCTGATGACAGTGCAATTTATTAGAGTGATGTAGGACATGGTAACGGTAATGAGAAATGGAGGCACCTAATTTTGTGCGACTTAGATCAATTCAGTTGTTTTTTTATAAATGAACATTGTTTTACTAACCACAGAAGATCATTAAAATTATTATTTTATTAACGCTTCTGAAAGCCATTTGGACTGCAGCTGCGTTTTTCCATATCCAATTAGGAGCATGTGAATGTGTGTCTGAAATGCAATTTTGCAATGCAAAAATGTCATTGGGATTTGTGAGTGATGTGGCTGGGAGTGGGGGGTGGGTTTGAATCCCCATGTAAGTGTTATTAAGTATATAAGTATTATTTAGTATCTTTTGTTTCTTACTGGACCTGTTCTGCCTTTCTTGCTGCTCCATGAGGTTGTGACTCCCTAAGGAGAGTTTGTTTCCCCTCCCAGCTCCGTGGTGCTGGCATGGCCAGGAGCAGCTCAGCAAGCTCTTGGCTGTGGTGAGGATGAGGATGAGGATGAGGATGGGGATGGGGATGGAGATGGAGATGGAGAGAGGTTCTGTGCCTGCCCAGGGGTGGGGATGGCCAGCCTGGCTGGGTGGCAGTGTGAGCAGCATGTCCCCTGTGGTGGGCTGTCCCCTCAGGTGAGGCTGTCCCGTCAGGTGTCTGTCCCCCTTTTGAGGCTGTCCCCCTGGTGTGGCTGTCCCCCTTTTGAGGCTGTCCCCCTTTTGAGGCTGTCCCCCTGCTGAGGCTGTCCCCCTGCTGAGGCTGTCCCCCTTTTGAGGCTGTCCCCCTGGTGTGGCTGTCCCCTCAGGAGAGGCTGTCCCCCTGGTGAGGCTGTCCCCCTGCTGAGGCTGTCCCCCTTTTGAGGCTGTCCCCCTGGTGTGGCTGTCCCCCTTTTGAGGCTGTCCCCCTTTTGAGGCTGTCCCCCTGGTGTGGCTGTCCCCTCTAGTGAGGCTGTCCCCTCTGTGGCAGACCCAGCGCCCGTCTCCAGGGCAGCCCAGCTGCCCCAGCCGTCTCCTGACAGCGGGATTCCCGCAGGCTGTGATCAAACATTCACATCTTCCTGGCAGTGGGGCAGTTACGGGTGAGAGGCAGGTCCTGCCTGCTCCCGAGGGCTTTGGCAGGAGCTCCCCACTCCGAGCTTGGATGCCAAGCACAGGCTCGGTGGAGGGGACAGCTCTGCCTGCTCCCCAGGGATGAAATGTGCACCAGCGTGAGGCTTCTTGGCCGGGCAGTGAGCAGGGCTGATGCTGCTGTGGGGGGAGCTAAGCCAGCAGCCCTGGGTCCCTGAGCCCCCCTTGTGATGGCACTCCTGTCTGCTGCCTGAGGAGCTGTGTGTAGGGATGAGTTCTTTGCTGGTTCAGGTGAGGTTTGGATGGAAAAGGATGGAAAGCATCTTTTCTTTTTAGCCAGCCTGAGCTTGCAGGGTGCTGAAATATGCTGAGCTTGCACACGAATGTCTTGACCCCAAGGTCAATGTTAGGAACTCACAGCAACATAATGTGAGGGTCAGTCCAGCAAGTGAGTGTGAGCCTCACTGTGTGCTGGCCTGCTGCATCTGTCCAGGGAAACAGGAGAGAAAGTGAAGGAAAAGAGACTAAAACTCCCTCAGGCTACAACCGTGTGAGCACACAACCTGAAGCCACCTCATTTCCTGCTTGAGGAGGTCAGGAGCAAACCACAAGAAAGACTCCTGGGGCCACGGGCTGCACTGCAGGTCACGGGCAACATGGGCACACACGTGTCCCCTGGGACTCAGCAGTGACCCTTTGTGTCCCAGCAGTGCCCAGGGGCACACAGGTGTCCCTGTGTCCCAGCAGTGCCCAGGGGCACACAGGTGTCCCTGTGTCCCAGCAGTGCCCAGAGGCACACAGGTGTCCCTGTGTCCCAGCAGTGCCCAGGGGGCACATAGGTGTGTCCCAGCAGTGCCCAGGGGCACACAGGAGTGTCCCAGCAGTGCCCAGGGTGCCCAGTGAGCTCTGTCCCTCCTGGAGGGCTGGGCACCTGCAGCCCAGCGTGGCCGAGGGGCACTGCCTGTGTCCCTTTTGCTGTGTCCCCTCGGGGGGAGGCAGAGCAGGGGACATGTCCCCTTAGGGCTGCTGGGGCTTTGCTCCTCTCAGACCCGGTGCCACCTGGAGCTGCTCCAGGGCAACCCCTCAAGCACCATAAACAGGGTGCCACCTCCTCGGCGTGAGCTGCTGCACTTTGCTGAGCTGCTCTGTGCCCTCTTGGGAGCTGAAGGAGATGGAGGTGGGGAGGAGGAAGGCTTGGGTGTCCCTGGGTCCCCATCTTGTGCCATGGAGAAGGGAACACGTGGGGATCAGGGGGCAAAGCCCCATCTTGGCCTCCCAGGCAGCCTGGCTGGGCCACATGGGACTGACCTCTGGTGCTGGAATGGCTGGGAAGGAATTGGCCTTTGGAACATATGAGGTCACTCATTGAGTTGGAGAGCAGCATGTGTCAGAGGTCCAACAATTTGTTTTCAGAAGGGTTTTAAGCATTAATGATTCAAGATGTTTTCCTGGGAGTGGTTTGCAGCGTGAGGCTCAGTGGCTGGCGCGGGGTTGAGGTTTTATGGCATTAGTCAATTCATGGAGGCTGAAAGGTCCCCAGGAGCACAACAGTTAAATTTGTACTTTTCCACATGGCTGAGCCTTCAAGGAGCTCACCAGGAGCGTGAAAAATGTAAACAGGGTTGTAAGCCTTGTGCCAGCCACGAGGCAGGGAAGGCAGGGAGGGGGTTCCCTGTGGATTAGTTCCATCACCTACTTCATTTTCTTTCTCTTTTTTTTTCCCAGGGTTGCAGATAATCACAAGCAGAACCTGATGACTGTTGCTAATCTGGGTGTGGTGTTTGGGCCGACGCTGCTTCGACCTCAAGAGGAAACGGTGGCTGCCATCATGGACATCAAATTCCAGAACATCGTGATTGAAATTTTAATAGAGAACCACGAGAAGGTAATGGCTTCCCTTGCTTCTTCCATGTCAGTGGTTTATGGAAAGGAATTGGTCTCTCTTTGCCCGTGGCAGCCCCCTCTCCATGGCCAGTGGCACCACGGTGGGGCTGTGCTGGGGAGGGGGCAGCTGGCACCTCGTTCTTGGGCTGTGTGACCAGGGCTGCTGGTGGCCAGCCTTGTTTATGGTCATCCCAGTGTGTCAGCAAGGCCCTGTCTCCTCACAGAAATTCCCTTTCTCCCCCTTCCCACTGTTCAATGGGAATTTGTCCTTGGTTTCAAGAGAGATGAGTGCTAAAGCAAACCAGTGAGAGGCACACCTCGGCTGGCTCCTGCTTTGCTGACTAAATCCAGGTTTATCCAGGTACTGGCTTTATCCACAGTGTTGATCTGAATCCTGATGCATTTGTGTTTGTTGGCCATGGATGTTGGGGTCTGCCAGTGCAGCAGTGGTGGCTCGGTGGGGCCGAGGTTCTGGCCATCCTTCCCTGGCTGCCTGTGCTTTTTAAAAAATACCATTTCCTTCTAAATGCAGCCAGTTCCCTGATTACAATCTTTTGTTAGTCTGGTTTTGATTGGAAAGGAGTAACAGATTTGGGCAGCAAAGGCAGAGCTAGAAAGCAGCTTGCCCTGGCTGGGATGCCATCATGGCTCTGGGTCCACATCCAGTTCTGTTTTGACCAGAGCTGTGCCAACGTGTGCTTTTCCTGTTGGGAAAGCCTGGCTGTGCCAGCTGTCTGTCTGGCAAGGGCAGGAGAGCAGGAAGGACACTGAGGAATGGGTTTAATGGACTCTCAGCAATGGAGAGGGACTTGGAGAGGGCTGGTCTGGAGGGGTCACTGCCCTTCTCTGAGCCTGTGGGCTCTGGAAGAGGAGCAGTACAGAACCAAATATCAGCAACCAGCAAGGCTGCTGCCCTTTGGGTTCGCGCAGTTTTAAAATTTCATCCCCTTGAGAAAAATGTGATTACTCAGTTTTCTGACAGCTGTGGCTGGAAGTTGCAAAGACTTTCCCAAGCTGGTCTGCAGCCGTGGGAGCGTGGGCGCCGGGGTCACGCCGCGGGGGGCACAGGGGGGACACTGCTGGTCTGTCTGGGCTGCTCATCATCACCTGCACCCCCAGGAAGTCAGCAGAGTGCCAGAGCCTTCTTCACGGCTTGCAGTGTGCCTCTTGGGTGAAAAAAAGAGGAGCGCAGACAGAGTGGAAACGCGGGATTCAGGAATCCGCCCCCGGAACGCTGCCCTGTTGAGTGCCTGTCTTCCTCAGAGCTGCGCCGGGGAGCGGTGCAGCCCAGGCAGGTGGGCAGCCGTCCTGTTGCGCGGGGCCATGCCAGAGAACAAGCTGTTTATTATTTTTAACAGATATTTAACACGGTGCCAGAGGCTCCGGCGTCGAACTCGCAGCTGCTGTTATCGCGCAAGAAGAGCACGGAGTCGAAGCCTCCCTCGTGCAGCGAGCGGCCGCTGACGCTCTTCCACACGGCCCAGCCCAGCGAGAGGCGTGAGTGCCCTCCCAGCCCCCAGCTGGGCCCTAGCCCTGCCTCACAGGCTGCCATTCCCGTGCCATTCCCCTGCACTTTTCCTGCTGTCCGTGGAAGGGATGATTCCACAGCGGGGTCAGGCTTCGGTTTCCTCTGCTGTCGCGTTGGTGGGGAGTGGAATCTCTGCTGGCATCCAGGCCCTTAACTGGGCTCGACATGAGGCTGCCTTAGCACAGGATAGAGTGTTGCTGTCCCCTCCCCACCTGACGGGCCCCTGAGTGTCCCCTTCTCATGTTCCTGGGCCCGTCATCGCTGCCATCAGCTGCCAGGACGAGGGTGCCACACCTGTGGCAAGGGCGGCCACCACAGGCCGGCCCTTTTGGGATGCCCTCGGGCGCTTTGCCTTTTACAGACAGGAAAACTCGGCCAGGAGGTTCGGCATTTTCCTGAGGATTATGTACCATGGCAGTTTAAAAATGTTGGAGCTCATCTTTCCATTTCTGTCACTAATTGATGCTCCAGATATTTGGGTGAAAGAGCCAAGGCCCCAGCCCTGCTCATGGGGTGGCAGACATGTGTCTGCTCAGGCTGTTGTTTCATGTTACAGAGCAAACCCAACTCCCAGCTCTCTGGTTCTCCCTGCCCATGTGCTCCTGGAGCCGGCCAGCTGCACACAGGGAGCTCTCCCAGTTTGGTAAAAAAGCAGGAGAGTCTCCTGGTGAGCAGGACAGCACAAGCGGAGCAAGGAGCAGGGCTGGGGATGGCCATCTCCCCAGGGTGCACAGAGTGGCTGCTGTGGGCTTTGCTGACTCTCAAAACACGTGGGTTTGTCTGATTAGGTTACTGTTAACTGGCAGGCAGTCTCCTCTCGAGGTGTCGGAAAGATCCGCGTGGGTTTAGGAAGCAGGGGTGGCCCCGGAGCGTGCTCTGGAAATGCTGTGGGACGGCTCTCGGTGAAGCCTCAAATATCAAACGCTGCTTTTGAAAACTTTCAGCCCCAGTAATTCATCTGCTGCTAACTAAGCAGTGGCTTGTCAGCCTCCAGGCTCTCCAGGCTCCGTGTCCATCCTCCCCGTGCCTGGGAGAGGAACTGAGCTCATTTCTTTATTTCTGCATTTATTTATTCCCATGTGAAGCAACATTTTCTTGGTGTTCCTCCTGACAGTCTATAACCTCCTGTGTCTTTGGGAAGCCACTACTGTTTTATTTGCCTTCCCTGCTGCTCATCATGAGAAATATGTGAGGTTTCCTTTCTTCTTTTCTTCTTCCTTTCCTTTCTTACTGGTCTGGAGACAGACCAAGGCTCTGAAGTCAGGGTGAAGCACAAGGGCTTAGGCAGCAGCTCAAGCCCAGTTGAGCAGCACAGAAATTGAAAGTTGAAATTGAAGCCAGAAATGTTCTAAATGAGAGCAGGGTGCACATTTTTTAAGACTGGGAGCAGTTTGACATAAAAAGAAGTGGAATGGGACAGCGGATTTTCCATCACTTGAAACCTGTTCATCAAAGTCCAATATCTTTCTATTTTCACTAGCATGCATCGTACCAAGCTGTGTCTAAGTCAAAAATTATGTTCAAGACACAGGAAGCAGATTAGATAATCGTGATTAATCTATGATTATAGTGATTATTTTGTTGTTAAACATTTACATTTTTATCCACATCTGACCCAGGGAGTAGCTCTTGTGACACAAGTGTCACCAGCACAGCAAACAGCATTTTGTTCCTTATCAGCTCTTTTGTCATCCCCTCTCTGATCCTTGGGGTCACTGTCACCAAAGTGCCCTGGATCAGTTACCAGGGTTCCTGGAGACCAAGGCTCTGGTGAGGCTCCAGTGGCTCTGCCTGCCTGACTTCCCACTAGAGAGAGGAAGTTTGGGTAAGGGGTGAAAGGCTCTTTTCTCTGCATGCTGGAAATGCTCTTGAGCTGATGGGCAGCTCTGCTCCTGCAGCTGTAAGACCAAATCAAATCTCCCAGCGAGGAATCCTTCACGTGAGCTTTCAAAAACATGACGTTTCAGCCTTTTAAAAAGGAAGAAATAAAATGAAGCAGGAGTTTCAGATTCTGCCATTGAACCCTGTTCCCCCTGAGCTGAGGCCCTTCCAGTTCTGTGGCTGACAGGGACTCCACTCTTGGCTTGTGGCTGCTGAGGAGATTAGAGGGACAATCCACGCTGAGCTGCCAAGCTTATGGAGCTTATTCCCAGCCTTCAGCCTTGGGCAGAAGTTTGCAAATGATAAGCTGGTGTCAGTCCCTGCTCCAGGGGCTCAGCTCAGCTCCTCAGGGCTGGCTGGGCTCAGCACAGGCAGTCCCTGGACCTGGCCAGCTCTGTGCAGGTGGCCTCTCATGGGCTGCCTTAAACTTGCTCTGGCAGATGCAAAACCAGAGGGATTTGGGTGTTTTAGGTCCTTGTACAGCTTAATTTCTTTATTTTTCCTTCTGCTGGCTATCACATCTGCCTGTCAGTATTTGTGGAGGTCAGTACTCTGCTTTTCTTCACTTTTCCCTCTTTGTCGTCTGCATGGATCATCTTTTTCATCCCAAGGTGCTGGTGCCCTGAGGGTTGAGCTTTTGCAGGGCTGGGGGCAAAGAAATGTCTGTGCTGCTTGTTCCCATGGTGGCTCATTGCAGATGAAGATTAATGAAATCCAGTCTCAGGAACACTTTGACATGTTTCAACATCACACATCCTTGGAAGATAAGCTCAACCTGAGCTAAACCAAGCCCTGTCCTGCTGCCCTGCAGGTGCTGACTCTGTCCAGGTACCTGGGAAAGGCAGCAGCTCCAGAGCTGATGTGGCATTTCCCTTTGGAGTGGTGGCAGAGCTGCACCAACACCCCAAGACAACCCTCCTGCCAGGCTGTTTCACAGGCAGTTCCTTTCTGCTGTGTGCTCAGGATTAACCTTTCACACAACCCAGGAGTTCCTCTTGCACTCTTTTACCCCCCTTTATATGTGCACAGGATACCAATTAATATTGCACGTTCTCCTCACTCAAAAAGAGATGGAATTTAAAGGGCTTGGGAGCAAGGATCCCCTGTCACTACATGCTTTTGGGTTGTAGTTTGACCATGTTATTGTGCACAGGAAAAATAATTTTGGGAAGAAGTGTCCTTGCAGTAGGACTCTCTTTTCCAGCTGGTGCCTGCCTTTCAGGAAAGCAGCATCCCAGAAACAGCCACTCTGCCCAGGGCTGCTCTCGTGCCACCAGCGTTGCTAATTGCTTCTCACAACTGCAATTACTGCTCCAAGGGCAAAGGCATCTCCTGGAAACGAGTTAATGGGATTTTGGGTGGCCTGGCAGGGCTGAGGAGGGGCCTGTGCTGTGGTGGCTCTTGGGGATGCACAGTGTCAGTGCTCACTGCATCTGAAACCCAAAAGAGCCGAAGAGTACGTGGTATTCCTTGTGGTTTAATGTATGATGTGTCTGTAACTAACTGAGCTCTGGGGAGATGTTCCTGTTTGCACTGGCCCAGGCTTTCCTGAGAATGCTCGATGCCTTCACAGCCATTTGCTCTTCACTTTGTCTGCACTGGCAGCTGATGGTTCTTGGGTTTTGGTGTTTTTTAGAGGAGAACAGGAACAGCATCATCAACTCCAGCCTGGAATCTGTCGTCTCTTCAAATGTAAACAGCTTCCTCAACTCCAACAGCGCTCCCCAGCCCAGCCTGAACTCGAGTGATCTTGAACTAGAAGTAATTAAACCCAACAGGCCAAATTCCCTGTAAGTACAATGGTAATTAGTGTTTTATAGACTCTCCATCCTTAATCCTTAATCAGAATTGTTTCTTATTCTCAACCTCAGCAGTCTGCTGAAGAATACCATTTAACATTTTAATTTTTAATGGGCACCAAACACTTGCCTCCATTTTTAACTCGGTCTAAGCAGTGGAATTAGTTGCTGTGGGTTACATCTGCCACGGGTTCCAGCTCTGATGGCTTTGCCCATGTGGAATATTTTTGAGCAGAACTCCCCAGTGCTGCCCGGCCCATCTGGTGATAACTCCAACACGCACAAAGGACTTTTCTTCTGAGTTCAATCCTGTGACTGTTGTCAGTACAGTTGATCTCCGGCCAAATCTATGCTGTTGCTTCTGCTATTGCTTCCTTCATCTGGAAAGTTCAAGGGAAAAAATAGTGACCTTAGCCATGCCTCCCCGGGGACGGCCGGGTTATTTATGAAGTCCCTGAACTCGCCGCGCGGAGCCCTCGCGATGGCGGCTGCGCTGGGGGAATTTCCTTCCTGCCAGGCCCGGCCAGCCCCGCAGCATTTTCCCACAGAAGCTCCCCTGCCCGCCACGTCAGGATCTGCTCAGGTCTCCAGGAGATGCAGCCCGTTCCCTGGAGCTCTGGCATGCCCTGCGCATCCCTGGGATGGGTGGTGGGAGCACTGCTGCCCTCCCAGAGCAGGGACACCGTCCTTGTCACCCCTCCCAGAGCAGGGACACCGTCCTTGTCCCCCCCCCCAGAGCAGGGACACCGTCCCTGTCACCCCTCCCAGAGCAGGGACACTGTCCTTGCCACCCCTCCCAGAGCAGGGACATGGTCTCTGTCACCCCTCCCAGAGCAGGACACTGTCCTTGTCACCCCTCCCAGAGCAGGGACACCGTCCTTGTCACCCCTCCCGTGGTCCCTGTCACTGCAGTCCCCACTGGGCCATGCCTGGGGTAGCTGGGTGCCCGTGGGGGCTGGGTATGGCCGGTGCTGGGACAGGAGCTCTGGGCATGGTGAGCTGTTGCCTTGGCTGCCTTGGTTTGGGGTTTGGGGTGCAGCTCTCACTCTGGCATTCAGGATGGCTCCAGGCCCTGCTGGGCTCTCCCAGGCAGGAAGGTAAGTGTGGAACAGACACGGGCTTCATCCAGCTTCACCATCTGCTCTGCTTCCATCATCCTCCTCCTGCCACTAAACCCTGAGCTGCAGCAGCCTCTCCTCGGTGGGCAGGGTTGGGACACCCAACCCTGCTCCATGGGGAACATCCCACAGCAGGAGAGCCCTGGGGGCAGGACAGACCACCCAAAGGTAGGACACCTGCACATCAAGGCTGTGCTGTACTTGTGCTACATACAGAGTAAAGATGCTTCTCTCTCTCTCGTGCCTGGTTGGAGCTCTGGAGTCAGTCACATCCCATTCCCCAACAGGATGGCTTTAGTTTATCCTTCAAGGGGGGAAAAAAATGCTGTGTCTTACCACAGAATGAGATTTGTGAGCCTGGATCTTGCTGAGACCTTACAAGGATTGATTGCCAAATTCACAGTTTTTCTGTTTCCAAGAGTTGCCTCTTCCTAATGATTTCTTTCTTAACGGAAGTTGCAGAGGAATTCAGCAGAATGGCTGAGTTAAAGCTGTGTGGGGCTCTGGGGAGCGGAGGCACCGTGCTGTTCCCGAGGGATTAGGTGAGCTGGCTGCCACTGAACCTGGTGCTTGTGCCAGTTACAGAGCCTTTATTTGTGAGGTGACACAGGGCTGAGCAGGACAGCACTGGCAGCTCGTGGCTCTCACAGTGCTGGTGGCATTTGGTGCTTTTCCACGAGCCCAGTGATTATGAGATAATTTCTGCACGTGCAGGAGCGTACGGGGTTTTGGTCTGTGTTGAGCTGAAGTTTGAAATATGGATCCTAAGGGGGATAATGCCACAGGGCAGATATTCTCTGCGACCCCAAATATTTAAATCAAATGTATTTAATCCAATCTTTCAATAAGAAGTGAAGCAATTAACTTGATTTTATTCTAAGTGTGTGTGGCTGTCACTCCCTTGGCTTGCCCAGGAGCAGGGGCTGTGCCTGTGTTTTTGAGAGCTCCTTGGGGTTCTGCCCTCGGTGCTTTGGGTTGGCAGTGGTGAGGATGAGGAGGGTGAGCAGTGCCCTGCCCTGTGGCTGCAGGCTGGGCTGGGGCAGGGTGTCTGAATGGTGCCAGTGTCCGGCGGCTCCGCGGGGCTGCCCGGATCGTGGCTCCATAAAGACACTTCTGTTTGTCCAGGCAGCTGAGAAATGTGGGCTTTGCAGGCAGCCTCTGCCCCGGGCTGGGGCAGCTGGTGCTGCCTTGCTGGGCTTCTGGGACTCCCCTGGAATTACCTGCCCACATTTAGGATCTGTGGCCACGGGAGGGTCTGGAGGTGCCTTGGGGTTTGTGCTCCTTCAAACAGATCCTCTGCTGGTCCTGTGGCACCTATCCCTGAGCTCTGCTTCAGGACTTTGGGGTTTTTTCTTGTGTTCTTCACAATTTCCTGTGATTTTTAGCTGTGGACCAGGGCTGCTGTGCTGGGGAGCTTCAGGAGGGGCTGTCTCCTGGCAGCCCCCACGAGCCCATCGGGAGCCTGTGCTCGCCCACACTGGGAAGCTGCAGGGAAAGGAGCTGGGTCATTCTGATGATATTTTGATTCAGAATATCCTACTGATATTGCTGTGGAAATAACTCCTGTGGATTTCAGAGGGAGGCTCCTTGGAGTGCAAATGTTGAGACCTGCAGGCCTGGGGCGTTTCTTGTGTCCCATTTGAGCCGTGAGCACCGATGTGTCCAAGGTGGCCTTTAAATGTGCCAGCTGTAAATTGTGAGCACCATCTGTGAAATGAGAGATGTTTGTTTGAGCTTCTGTGTACAAAGGCCCTTGGCTCCCTGCTAAATGCTCATGTGTCCCCCAGGTCTGCTCTGCCAGGAGCTGTGCCAGTTCCTAAATCCCCCTGGTGAGCGAGTGTCACTCCTTCTCAGCTGCCTGTGCTGGGGCTGGGGTCCCTCCACCTCGGTGCTGGTCCCCCTGTCCCCCTCCCCAGAGAAATGGGCTCCTTCTGACGTGCTTTCCCTGGAGCACAGTCCAGTCTCCAATCCAGAGGGAAATGCTTTTGCTGCCGGGCTCAGGCTCTTCCTTCCCAGCCACCACTCGGGCTTTTACGATGGGAATGCATTTATTTATTAGGGCTGGGTTTATTTTTATGGAAAAACTGCTCTGGGCAGGAGTTGTACTGCGTGAGTCAGCAGGACTGCTGTCCCGTGCCAGGAGCTGTGGCTGTGGCTGCCCAGGCACCAGGACCACCAGGGCAGGGATGGTGCCCGAAGCAGTGCTGGGTTTCTGTGTCCTTTGGTCTGTGTGCCCTGTTGGGTGTCTTTATCCTGCCCCTGCAGAAAGCATCTTCCTTAGAAAACAGCCAAGCATGGAGCAGGGAGCACTGTGCCTCCAGCAGAGATGTGTCCTTCAGCTGGGGAAGGGGAAGGACAAGGGAATGGCTTCCTACTGATGGAGAGGGCTAGATGGGGTGCTGGGGAGGAATTGCTCCCTGGGAGGGTGGGCAGCCCTGGCACAGGGTGCCTCATCCCTGAGGGTGTCCAGGGCCAGGCTGGACAGGGCTTGGGGTGACCTGGGGCAGTGGAAGCTGTCCCTGCCTGTGTCAGGGGGGCACTGGGTGCTTCCAGCCAAAGAGACAGGACCAGTTTAACACCCCTCCCTGTTCCTCCGTGCCTCCAGGCCTGCCAGTGTTCCCAGTGCTGGTGCCCATCCTCAGGCCCAGGGCACTGGGGGAGATGGGGCCATGGGCCAGGCTGAGACCCCACACTGCCAGCCCTGGCCCAGGCTGGTGCTGCCCCTCCCTCACCCTAGGGACTTGGCATTTAGAGAAATAATAACCTTGGGAAACTCAGATTTAGTCAGTACATGTCTATTTGCATTTAATTTCATTTTCTCACTGACCAAGTATGGCTATTTCTTGCCCTCTGTGGGTATGGAAAGAAATGAGGAGCAGATCTAAGGTCTAGTGTCATGAAAAAATAACCCAGTTGCTCCAAGGAAGAGTGGTTATTCCCACATAAATAAATCTTCATTAGGCATCCCAGTTAAAATTGAACATTTCTCTTTCCATGCCTGAAAATGAGAGAAATTTCAGCTATAACTTTCTCTGTCAGGGACTTCTCCAAGCGGCTGGGAGGGAGCTGTGGGGCAGGGGGACAGGGGACAGCAGACCAGAGCCGTGGGACTGGGGTGATGCTGCATCTTCCTCCCATTGCTCTGCTCCTGAAGGCCCTCACCATCCCAAATCCAAGGGCAGCATCCCAGAGTCATGGAAGCACTGCTTTGCCTTGGAATGACCTTCAAGCTCCTTCATCCCACGGGCAGGGACACCTTCCACTGTCCCAGTTTGCTCCAAGCCCTGCCCAGCCTGCCCTTGGACACTTCCAGGGATAGGGCAATGGATCAAACAGGAGAGGGTAGGATTTCTTTGGGAAAATGGTCTCTTAAGAATGCAGGTACCTTTGGCAGTTATCATCTGGGACACAGGAAGGCAAAAGCACGTGAGGTGAAGCACACAGACCTTTAGCTGCTGCTGCTGCCTGTCCTGGGGAGCTGGGCAGAGCTGCAGGAGAGCCCAGGCTGTGCCTGCCCATCTGTCCTCAGCACAGGGGCTGTGGGGAGCCAGAAATGAGTCCTTAACCTGCCTGACCTGCAGTTCCTGTCCCTGTGCTCCCAGGCCCTTGTTCTGCTGAGCTTTCATGGCTCTCTGCTCCGTGGCTCCTGTTGTTTATATTCCTGAAGAATAATGGCAATTAGAGGTGCAGAGGCGCAGGATCTGGTCCCACCCTCATCCTGCCTTCCCGGCAGCCACTTTGGGAATGTCCCTCTGAAATGGCATCTCTGGGACTTCTGTTTAAGAAATTTACTCATAAATCAGCTGCTCCTGTCCCTGAGGAGCCTGGATTCTCACCCGTTCTCCTCCCACCCTGATATTCAGCCCCACTTTA